GATGCATATTCATACTTAATGCTGAGGACTATATTAATTGCCTGCACTTCATTTCATGGCTGTGTCCACATCTATGCACTTTCAAATTAAAGTTCTACAAGAAGGGACGATCTTTACTCCGTAAGGGCAGTACAAGTGCTTGAAGATATTTTAACATCAAGACAGGGCAATCAAACTATAATTGTCACTAATTAGTACTTGCAGAAGCTGAAATTTTTTTAAAAACTTTAAGCTGAGTGGTACTTGGGTGCAAAATTATTTCTTGCCTTAAACATTAAAAATTGATTTCCTTTTTGTTTCTATAAGCTATGAATGAGACAGGAACTTCACCTCTTAGAAGTGACTTTTACTGAATAAAATTGGCTACAGAGTTTAATTTTCTCTGCAAATAATGAACAGCAAAGCCAAATTATGCTGTACTTTCTCCCATGTCTGTTTGTTTATTGTTTCAAAAGAGTTTTCCTTTAAAGGGACCATAAAAATAGTTTGGAGGGCTATTTTGGCATTTCATGCAAAAAGATCCAATTTTTATGGGAAATGTACTTTTGCTATGTGCTGCCTCTGCCAAGTGCTTACTCTTTTTTTGGCATTCCTTTCATTTGTCAAGAACTCTGCACTTCTAGCTGTAAATCTGAGCTGTGTAATAACCAGATTTTCTTGAAATGCAGTTTTCATTTTTATCTGATGTGTCCATGAAGATTATTTCTTAAAGTGAAGCAGAAAAGTTGTTTTTGTATTCTTTGTATTTCACCTTTTTCCCCTCTAATGGAGAAACTATGGCTTTTGTGTGAAGATATTTTGCCGCCTTTTGTTCTATTTCCAGCATCTGTATTGCCACCACCCCATGTTTTTGGGCTACCTAGTCCTCTTTGTTTGCCACTGTTCTTTAAAGAAGAAAAACTCAAAACCTTCATTTAACTTTCTCGTTTCTTTTAATATTGGTTAGAGTTGTCATTTGCTTGGATCTTCAATGAATATCCGTCGTTTGTACAAGAGGACAGTCGTCGATTTGTGTCTCAGGAGACTGGTCACCTTTACATAGCCAAAGTTGAACCATCAGATGTAGGAAACTACACTTGTGTTGTTACCAGCACGGTGACTAGTAGCAAAGTTCTTGGTTCCCCAACTCCCCTAGTGCTCCGGACAGATGGTATGACTTCTTTTATATGTTTTTATACTGTGGGGAAAAAATAGTAGTATGGTGGTATACTCATGTATACCTCTAGCCTCTAGTGAACATTTTTATCTCATAAAGTGTAGTTTTTACATCTCAGAATAGTGATTACTTATAAGAAATTGTTTTGTGTTTCTTATCCCTTTTCCTCTTGTGGACAGTGGTTTAATTGGAAGTTCTCTATGCTTGTTTTCCCAAACACCATGCAAAAACAGTCTTTGTTTTTTAAATTGAATGTGATGTCTGTGTGAAAGAGAAAAGCATAACTATGAAGAAGGAAAAAAAAGCTGTTTTTCACTTTTCAATTTTCCCATCCAGGTGTGATGGGAGAATATGAACCCAAAATAGAAGTTCAGTTTCCTGAGACACTTCCTGCAGCTAAAGGTTCAACTGTGAAGCTCGAATGCTTTGCACTAGGAAAGTAAGTTCCCATTTTCACTGGATTTGCAGAGTTTAAGCATGCCGAGGTTTATCTACGCAACAGGTGCAACTGTTTGCAGCCTTTGCAAAACAGCCTTTGTGGCTTTCTGATGTTCATATTTTAACTGTCACACTTATTTCCGTGGTAATAACCAAATAACTGAGATGGTAAACAGTCTTGGATTGATTTTATTGTTTAAAACTGAAATGGGAACACAGGAATTTAAGTTTAATTTCAAATTGGGTCAAATTTCAACCAGTTTTGCAGGTGTCCTCTGACCTTCCCCCATTTTCTCTGTGTACAGTGAACTGTTCTTGAAGTTGCTGAGAATTCTGTTTAAACTTAAATGTTAACCATACCTGATGTTTTCATAATATTACTGTTCTTGCATGTCTAAAATAAAAGTAAAAAAATGCATTTATCTTCTGAATGATATTCCATACAAAACTGATGTCTTTAGTGCTTCACAATGCTCAAAAAATGCCTCTGTTTCTGTAAATGTATTTACTAACCACTTTAGGGTTTATTTGCAGATGGCTTTGTGAGGTACTCAATTTTAAGTGCCAGCTTTATAACTTAAAACATGCCATTGCTTCCGTTCCTTGACTAGGTGAATGAAGTTTTAAAATCAGACAGAGAATGGTGTTCAAGGACTGAAATCTCAAAAGTCTTTGCTTGTGTCTCCTACCATTAAAGTCAATGGTAAATCACCTGTCTACAGGGCAGGCCAGTGCTGATTTACAGGAAATTTTACAGTCCATGGACAGTCACACAGATATTCATGAAAGTTTGGTACGATAAGTAATAGTATGTGAAGCAGAATCTATTTATATGCAAATCAGTTACAGTACTATATCACTATGCGTAATAGAGTATGTATCCACAAGCCTTTTGTCACTTGGAGTTTTTTCTTTTCTCTTGTTTTTAGTCCTGTGCCTCAGATTAACTGGAGAAGAACCGATGGTCTGCCATTTCCACATAAAATAAAGCTAAGGAAATCCAATGGCATGATTGAAATTCCAAATTTCCAGCAGGAGGATGCAGGACTATATGAATGTATTACTGAAAACTCAAGAGGAAAAAATATTGCAAGAGGCCGTCTCACTTACTATGGTAGGAAGCCTTCCCTCCTACTTTGTCCCTCCCTTACCTGTGAAATTACTCCCATGGGATATGTTCTAGGTGTACAGCTTCTGCTTGGACAATTAGATGTTGGAGCTTAAAACTCCTGGCATTATAACTGTGCAGAAGAAGAGCAAAACTTCTGCACTGGGTTCGTGTCAGACAAGACAAGGACTTCTGAGCAACATCCCTGTTCCAAAGGGTAACTGAGAGCAGAGCGGAAAGCTCTTGCTTATCCATGATGCCAACTTTTTATTTTTGCAGAGGTAGAAGTCTCAGGGTTGTAGTTTGGTTAGATTGGTTATAACGTCACATTAATATGACATTTACAGGAAATACAACTTCATTTTGTTTTTGGATAAGTTGATTCATACATATTGTGAAGCCTTTTCTTTCACAGTAACCAATTCTATTTTTAAAGGAGTAAATAAATAAGAGAACATAATCCAATGTAGGAAATGAGAAAATGCAAGATTTAATAGCTGGAGAATGGCAAGAGTCTCTTGTGCATTTAAGGCTGTGGAGTGATTTGAATAAGAGCAAAGCATATTGGTGGTCTTAAGGCTACAGTGATTTGCGACAAAGCAGTAATTGACAGTTATTGTTAAAGCAAATCTCAGCAAATAGGATTTACCTTAGGTAAATGCCCATTTAAACTGTCAGTTTAAAGTCTGTTTCTTGAAATGTGTGGGATTTTTTTCTCATACATAGGCATATTTGAGCAAAGATCAAATGAAAATCCTGCTGTTGTGCAACTTCTTAAAAATGTTCTATTTTTTTCTTGGAAGCTATTGTTTACTACAACATGCAGGACTCTACAATGTCCATTTTATTCAGTGCAGATTTTAATTTAAGAAAACACAAATTTTATAAGTAAAAAGGAAAAATTTCTTCTTTCCTCACATGGGCCCAACTTCTAATAATAATAATTATTTCAAGAAAGCTTATGCTCCGTTCAGAGTTTTTGTGCACGTCAGTAATGTTGCATCTAAAAAGTAAAATGTTTTGTTTTTCTAATAGCAGCATAGGTTTTAAAGAGTATCTCTCATCACTTAGAATATCTCTAAGTATCAGCCTTAACTAAGATAATCTGGCTTCTTCAAAATATTTCTAATAGAATATTAACATTCCCTATTTTTTTCCACCCAAAGGACTACATCAAGAACAGCCCAAGATCAATGTGCAGTTTATTGTCTTCTCTAGGGTTCCAACATTTGCTTAATGTCATTTTTTTCTTCTGGATTTCAGAATAGGTTATCTAACTTTTGATTTTAAATTAAAAACCACCATATATAAATAACTTGTTTTCCCTAGAAATCTGTTTGTTTTGCCACCACTGTTATCACTTCCATAAAGATGTAATAGGAGAGTTTCCATGAATACTTTTGAGGGCATTGAAAAATGAGAGATGAAACAATCGCATTTTTGTAGTTTAAGATGGAGTTAACATAGAGAAAGTTAAAGCAATTCATTTAAGGTATAATTGAAGAAAACAGACACTTAATTAGTATTAATTTAGTGGAACTCACGCTTAACAGTGAAGTCAAAAAAAGTCAGTTCTGCTGAACAAGAACTTGCTGAACAAGTTCTGCTGGTTCTGCTGCTGTTTGCCTTTCCCTCAGTGCAGCTGGTGTGTGATAGCACTGGAGAGCTACAAGCTGCCCAGCACACTATGGTTGAAAACAGTAGAGCTTGCAACTTACGTGTAATAACAGCCACTTTTGTTCACTTGGATAAATCATCCAGGAACATATGGGAGCAGACTTGCTCTTTGAAAATTCAACCCGCTAGTAATAAATAATTTTATGTATATTTTTATGTATAAAACAGTAATGTTTTGATAATAGTGTACCATTAAAATTATACTGAAGTCACTCATGAATGTGGCACAGCCTCACCGTTTACATATTTCATCTGATAACCTGACTCTGTCTTGCTCAGGGAGATGTGATGTGGTTATGAAATACAAATATGTAAATAAATATTAAGGAGTTGATGAATTTAGCATTGATATTTAAAATTCATGTTGTCCAATAACTTGTCTTATTGCTGAAATGATTTATCTTTTTTTGTGTGCTAAACTTTCCCTGCCACTATAAAAACTACCTGTGACATTGAGAACATTTTTATTTTTGTATGGAAGTCAGATAACCTAATTTCAAAAGTCAAAGGAAATGATCAGATGCTTCCTTAAGGCAACTTTGTTTAGCAGGAAAAAAAAATGTTCTTTTAAGTTACAAAAATAGGCTCATCTCATCACTGTGAGAGTCATCATTTTTCAGGGAAATACTGCCTAGAAAAATGAAGGTGACAATTTTTGTTTAACAAAACTTTACAAAAATTCTTATGAATTTCCAACTTGTTTCATAGCTACTTTCCGATAAACTACAGTAATTTCTTTTGCCTCTGATTTACTGCCCAACTACTGAGGTGCTCAACTACTACCCTCAGAAGATGTTTCAAAAGAGATTTCCAGGCCAGCTTTTAGAGTGTAAATTTAAAAGTAAAGATCCTCAATTAAGGACTTTCCGGAGGAGCTTTCTGTAGCCTTCTGGCCCCAAACAGGGCACATGGCTGACCTCAGTACTCTTTGGTGGAGCTCAATTTCTGGATAAGAGTTGCTGTTCTGGAGCTCTGCCTTTCATTTACAGTGTTCCTGTGAATTACAGAATAAAAACATTTTATTGGAGTTTCATACTCCCAAGGAACTAGGATGTAAAACTTCCTGTTGAGATATATATATATATACACACACCTGTGGAGGGGACTGCAAGGTATACTGTGAATTATTTACAAAGTGGATCTCGGCACAGCTTCTTACTGCTTTTCAGCCTTTGCTTCCACCAGCTTCCCAGCTTCTGTGGAATCACTTGTTGCAATTCACTTGTACCACATCTCAGAAGAAAGGTTCTTGAAAAGTCTCATTTCCTCAGAGATGGCCTTTTCTCCATGTATGCAGTAATGGATACTACACAGTGCAATAAACTAACTGCTGTTTCCTGGAGGGAGATCTGCTTGGTCTCCCTATAAGAGTCTCCCTGTAAAAAAAAAAAAAAAAAAAAAAAANAAAAAAAAAAAAAAAAAAAAAAAAAAAAGAAAGTCATAGTCTCTCTTGCCTCACTCCTTCCAAAAAACAAAACAAAAAAAAACAGTTTCTCTCTTTTATTACATGGCTGTATCACTTCTTGCATATGTATTTAACTTTTTAATATATTAAAAGAAATATATTGGGCAAAAACAGAAGCAAAATACTAGCTACTGCTTCTAAGTTAGCTAAGAGGGTAATGGCTTAATCTTAGAAAAGCAGCTACCTCTTGGTTTGTTGCCCTAAGGGAACCTCATATGAATTTTTCATGAGGACTGTGAAGAATTCCCTGTATAATTATCACAGAGTATAGGTTCCTAGCATGGTCTTGATCCCTGTGCTGTATGCTCTATTAAAATTAACTCTCAGCTTCATAACTTACAGGACATTCTTTAATCTCAATGAAACTTACCTGCTTATCTCCTTCTCTCTCTTCTTACCTGTGACCGAGGAGAGAATGATGTCTGCTTAGGAAGACCTCTATAATGCACTCAAGCCAGCATATTCATTCAATAAAAGAATGAGGCTATAAAATTAATCACTGCAGTCTTCCTTTGGGGGCACAGATGTGGTGTGTTGCACTCCTGAATGAAACTAGGTGTTTTAAACAGGTAAAGTTTCTTGACCTAATAGCAAGTTGAGCTCCTGAGGAAAGAAGTGGCACATTCAATATGGTTTAGGTAGGTAAAAGTGCAGTGATGGACTTGCAGATTCACAGATCTTCTCAAAAAACAAGCATGACCTGCTGTTGGCACTTTTCTCGGGTGCTCCAATGTGAACATCTTTACCTTTGCCAAGATGTTAGTTGAGGGAATACTGCCAGGCGGAAGTGTCCCACATTAACTGTCCTTTCAATTTTGAAAGGGTTAGTTGAATTGCATTTTCCTAAAGAATTTGAAATGCCTTTTTCAGCCATTTAAGACCTTTAGGCGTGGGGTATGAAAAAAGTATTGTTCTTTCTGTTGAATCCTTGGCCAGTAATTAAAGGAAAAGGTGGGGGAGAGGAGGGGAGAGCTCCCTGAGGAGGAGAGGGAAGGCTGCATCACAACTCCGGGCATTGCTTAGGAAGCCACCAGTGTAAAGTCCCACCTTGTGCCTTTGGAGACCCTGCTTCCTGTATTTCTGCTTTGAGTGTTGATCTTACTACCCCAACTGCTCTAGAGATTTAGGAAGCCCTGTGCTGGAGACTGCATGACGTGGAGACAGAAAATGAAAATTTACAGTGCAGCTGCTGATGAAATTGAATAAAGGTTGAACTTGAAAACAGGCTCTGTCTAACCTAGCTTCAACTGCAGATAGGCAGCAGATGCAAAATATTGCTCGTGTATGGATCCATCAATAATTCAAGGATTGTTGCTTGTTATATAAATATTTGGCAAGTGTGCTATTTTTCCTGCGCTATTATGCAAAGTGTAGGAAATGTGCTAACGTGTAGCCTTGAGCTTTCGTCCCCTTGACAGATGTAGGACATAGTCCACATAGCACTGTGAATTAAAGCAAGGGCTCTTCCTGACACTTCAGTATACCCATGTTAGCATTGCAGATTTAACTCATATCATTTTCCATAAGAAAACATATTTGTGTGACACAGAGATGACGTTATCTTTTTTTGGGGGTAAAGAGGCAGGGAAAAACATATCATCCCCAAATCAGTGAGAAATATTAACCATTCTAGTGCAAGGGGCACTGAAAACAAAATAAAATTTCACTGTCTGTAAAGACTAGTTGAATTTCACAGCGTATTATGTTAATATCTAAATAACTATAATGTACGTGATTCTTCTGTGGAGGAGTCAATTCTGATAATTTATGAATTTTTATGTACATATATAGCATTAATCCTTGTTATCATAAAAGTATTATATTAATGTGATATTTGTTACTGTTCTGTAGTACATAATAGGGAGAAAGACTTTATATGCTCGAAGAGAATGAGTCTTTCTTAATAAAATTGATACCAATTCCCATCCAAATGCTGGTCTAATGGTCCTGTGCCTATGGCATTGGAAAAGGTTCAGCTCTCAGCTGCATTGCAGACTTCCTTTGTGTCCAAAGGCAAGTAATTAATTTCCCTGGTCTGAATTAATTGCTGGTGTAACACCACTGCAGTAGGAAGTTCAATAGGAACGTATCTGACCTTCTATGTTTTCAACAGTCATCCATAAAATAATGATCTTGCCTGCATCACCACAGTTTTGTATTTTTTTATATATATTTTTAAGTGTTCTTATATGAAAGTGTTAAAGCCTCTATTTAAGTAAATAAAGAATAATATTTCAAAGATCCTTTCTGTTTTAGAAGCTAACCCTTGCTCTTTAGGAGCCAAAGCCTCATTGAAAGAAAACTTCCTTCCAAACATACAACTGTACAGCATGGTCTATATCTTGTGTACCTCATTATTTTTTGGTATTAATAAGGGAACAAAAGCAACAGTATAGAGCTTAGTACAATCGGCACAGTTAATGTAGAAAGTAAAATAAATAGTTGGTAATTGGTGTGCTGAGCACCAGTCTGTAGCATTTGCAGTATTAACAGTATCAGAAATAACAAGTGAAAAGCATACGTACAGATAGTTTCACTTAGCATAGTTTTACAGTGAAGACATATGCAAAACATGAATTTTTGGCTTCTATATTTCGGGATGAATTAGAAGCTTTCAGCATTGTGCTTTAGATAGGTAAGGAGTTGTTGTAAAGTGTATATATATAATAAAAGACTAATTCAAGTGGTATTTAGATATAAGACTGACATGTCATTAGTGTTTGGGTTTTTTTAGTGATTAAAGATTTTTTTCAGTATTAGTTTTGATGATTTGACTGCATCACTTATTTAATTCGGATATTGTGCTTTTTTATGGTATTGCTTTTTTTATGTTACATCAATTTCAAAGCTGTGCTATTTAATCATCAGTAATTTTGGTATTGGTTTCACTAGTTTAGCATCAGTGATCTGTAACCTCCATTTTCTTTTGTTTTATTGCTGTAATAAAAATGTATAAGAAAAGTGAATAATTTCTTTAGGCGACTTGGACTGAAACCAGTGAGACTCTGTTTGAATAAATCAGTCTACATACTGACTAATTAGTCTTTTGCAAATTAATCCTTTGATTTTCATTTGGAACACTAATGTGTTATGTATTTCACTTGCAGCAAAGCCTCACTGGGTGCAGATTATAGAAGATACTGAAGCAGCCGTAGAGGACACCTTGTACTGGGACTGCAAAGCAAGTGGGAAGCCCAAACCATCGTATAGGTGGCTGAAGAATGGAGACCAGCTGTCAATAGAGGTAACACTCTTTCTCAAAAAACACGGTGACTTGTAAAAATTAACTGTACTTCCTATGACAAGAATTTGCAAAACTCTGTGTAATTAGTCCAGAGAAATCTTTGGATTTTTTTTTTGTTGTTTTTTTTTGGTTTTTTTTGTCAACATGGAATCTTGAAAAGCTGCAGTGAGACAAGCACAAAGACAAATTACGCTTTACAAAATATCTTGCCTAAGGGAGATTTAAAAGCAGCGATAAAGATATAAAATTAAGTATATGAAGAAATAATTTAGAAAAAATTCAACAGAATTAGTAAAAGCTGCATATTAATAATCATAAATGAATTATAGAGAATTTTTCTTATAATGGTGATTAATTTTTTGTTAGAGGTTTAAGCAAACATTTTTAAGCTTTGTGATGGAAGAGCAAAAGAATCCTGACTAGCCATAGGTCACTGCTATTTGAGGCAAAGAATGAAAAGTAAACAGCAGTGGGTAACATATTCATTTGCTTTAATGTTGTACTCGTAGGTATTTGCTGTAATATTGTTATTAACGTGATAGAAAGTAATACTTTGTTTTTTTCTGGAGAAGAGGGAAAAGAGGTTATATACTTTGAAGATGAGACGCTTGGTCTTGCAGATCAGTAACTCAGAAAAGTCTCTCACGTCCATATCAATTTTAGTTGTCTCTTCTGTGCTGGGGAAACTGTCTAGCTCAAATTATAAGGTATATAAACCTAACAACACTAACAAAGACAAGAAATTTTACCTTCAATCCACACTGATAAGACTACATTATTCTCAGTGTAGGCACCCAAAATTGAAGCAGAAATATAAAATGCTCAAGTGAATTTAGTAAATGGCTATGAAGAATTTGACCTAGGCAATGAGAAACAGTTCTTAACATTCAGAATATTTTGTGGACAGATTGAGTGACAGAATACAATATATCATCTTAAGGTTTCAATGACATTACTGTAGCATACAAAGTCTCTAAATTTTTTTTTTTTTTTACTTTAGTAAACACAAAAATACTTTCCCTTGTTTGGTGTCTCTGCATACCATTTTCCAGTCCAGACCATTGATGTCCAGCCTTTTGCCATGATGTAAGGGCATCAGTGTGACTTATACCAGAAATGCGTAAGGACTATAAACTGTAGAATTACCTCTGAAAGATAAGGGTGAGCAGATAACAGGAGTCCTCTGTCACTGTGTATCATGATCACTTGTCCTCAGCTCCTCTCCTACTGTATTGTCTCTTTATGCTGGGCTTCCTAAAATCCCCTGTTGGGGTTATTCTACTTAGTTCCCCTTCTCCACAAATGAATCTTTTGTAAGGGAGAATAGTAGGAAGAGCTCACAGTGCTAGAAACGGGATAAAAACATGGAGTTTGAGGCAAGTTCATCTTTGGGACTGTTTCTGTCCTTTGCTTAGCTGACTGAGCAACTTTCAAATAAATGGGAAAGGACCTGTCAAGGAAGGAGCTGATCTGGGCTGACTTGTCTGGCCAGTAGAGAGCCAGAGTCGCCCTTCAGTGGGGGCCAACTGTAAGTAGAAAAAAAAGTAAAAGAAACAGAAATTGGGGAGTACCATTGCATTAGGCCTGGTGAGCCACATCCAGATCATTTCTTAGTCACTTCTGCTCCAAAAGTTATATCTGAGACAGTAATTTGTTCTTCTGTTCAT